ATTCTAAATAAATATTTCTGCTGTAGACCTGGAAAGCAGCGGTGTTATCTTTCTCTATCATAGGTGGGTGATAACATTTCTTCTAGCTCATTAGTAGCCAAAGAGGATTTTATACGAGGTCTGAGGGAGATACATATTTTTAAATGAAAAGGCCCTGACAGCTTGCACCCAAGAATCCCCAAAGAGTTGGCATGTGATGCTGTTTTTTAATAAAGCTTATGGACTGGGAAAATGCCATCAAGAGCTGGTCGGGGTAACTGTGAGAGAGTTGGCAACACTTTGCGTATCTCTTCTGGGCAAAATAATTGAAGAGCCGATATGAGATTCAATTGATAAAGAATTAAAGGATGGAATTATAATTCATGCCACTCAACTTAGATTTATGGAATATAGATCTTGTCAAATAAACCTGATTTCATTCTTCCAGATGACAACTTTGGTTGATAAATGTAGATGAAATAGACTCTGCAAGGCATTGGATGCGGCGCCGTGTGACATTGTGTGTAGGAAGACCGAGCACTGGGCGGTATCACTAGCATGGGCGATTAAGAGCTGGCCAACAGATTTGGGAATGTGGGGGCTTAGCTGCAGAAGCATCGCTGGATGGGAGGGGTCAGCAGGAGCTGATGAGAGCTGCAGTGGTGGTTAGCATTTCGTTGGTGATTTAGAAATGAATATGCAACTGTGACTAATTAGCGCTGTGGGTAAAACAAAGGTGGGTGGACAGATGAAGAGCAACAGGGATGGCTTTATGGGGTGGTTTGGAAAGACTGTCAAGCAGGGTGTGTTGAGAGCATGGTTGGGTACAACCTGCCGTGGTGCCTGGCTAGAAGAGGGGAATGGTAGCCGTACATACAGATCCAGGGTGCTCCCACCTCTGCGGGAGGCTTAGCAGAAAACCAACTCCTTCCCAGCATGATGCTGTGCTGAGGAGGGCTAGGATGGTCCTTGAGTAGTAGCGGAGGATGGAGCGGTGGCTTCAGGATGGAAAAATAGCTGTATTTTGAAGCATGCCTTGATTTAAGGCTGCACAAGTACCCTTGGTGTGTGTGGAGGGGCACATTACGTACTGAGGGGCTCTTCAGTGTGTTGGCCAAACAAAAAAACCTCAACAGAAGAAGAGAATGGGTAGGGGTTGGAACCAGAGAAGTTCAGGTGGACCTCAGTACCTGTCTGTGAGCGTGGTTAAGCTGTGGGAACTGACTGCAGTGGCAAGCAGTGGGTGTTCTTGTCTTCTGAGCTGGTTTGAATGGTTTTCACTGGGATTTTGTGCTTTGCCCTAAAGACTATTTGTGGGGCTGGAGGAGGTTACACTTTACACAGACCTCATATTGGCCATGGCACAGGACAACTGAGCAACATGTAATGCAGGAAGGGTCAGAGAGTGAGAGCTGGTGGTCGCTTTCGCCCCTAAATTCCTCTGTGCGAAGCAGCCGGGGGCATGTGCTCCAACACCACTGCCGGTGGCTGAGGAGGGCTGGTTTGGCAGTGACCTTCTTTGCATCTTGATCGAAGGGATTCCCAATAACCTCTTGGAAATCAGCTGAAAGCTCTGATGGCATCGCAACGCTGCTTTCAATAACACATCCCATCACATTGCCCCCATGGATGATGAGGCACGAAGAGCCCCCTGGGACCTTCTCCAGCTCTGTCTGTCCTTGGCCAGCACTGGCTACTGCATCTCCCTCCTGTGCTTTCCTTGCTTGCCTGTGGTCTTGCCAGGATGCTTTAGCTGGGAAGCCCATGTGGACGTAGAGGCTGGCCCATAGCTAGGACACATCAGTGGATCCACAGCCTTTGGGTCCTACAGTCCTCTCCGGCTTTTGGGGGGACCAGAACGCTGTACCACAAAGCGTGGTGGAGGAACGAGAGAAAGGAAACGCGAGTCCCTTCCACATCCAAGGGTTGCTGCAGCGGTCTAAGGACCTGTCTCGCTGCTGGCGGGCAATGCGTGGATTAGTGCCATAATTCTTGCAGTTTGGCAAGGCTGCATCAGACTGGAACCTATCTCTAGGTGGTGATATGGTCAGTCAATAGCCTTCATAATTAATCAAGCACTAATAGACAAATTAGAAATCGTGTCTCTTCAAAGCAGGAGGTGGAGGCAAATGGCTGGCGGATTTTAACTGTTTCGTTGCTTTATTTAATTGCCTGGTTTTACGTTGCTCCCTTGAAAATGGTGGGTTGTTTAGGGAAGTTTTGTACATAAACACGATTTTAAATTTAAATTATTATCTTGATTACCAAATGCGGATGGTGAATTGAAAACTCGTTTTTCAGACAAGCAAATGAAGAATAATATTACATTTTACACTCCACTAAATCAATGTAGCCCTAATTTTGCCATGCAGGAAATCAATTCCAGTCTTTATAACAGTCGAAGATGTTATGAACAAAGTAATTTTGCAAATTATGGCAAGTAACACATTTATTGATGACTGTAGTTTAGGAATTTAGAATTTGTGAGTGCTGTAATATAATAAGGCCGTACTGGCAGGAGCTGAGTGAAATACAGATTATATGGTGAAACTGTAATGCATCATTTGCTATTAGTGGACTGGTAATAATTACCAGTTTCAAAGCAGCTTTTTCCATGTAATCTTTAGTCTCAGTCGTAACAGCCCTTCTCATTGACATTATGATTACACGAGCTGCCCTTATGATCTGGAATATCTAGTTGATGGGAATACTAAAATGTGGTAGCGAATGCTCGATGTTGTATGCTCATTATAAGATAAAATGCTATTTTCTCTGACCTGATCTATAAGGTAGAGAGGCGAGGTAGCGTTACATTGTTAGCTCCTACCGTGGTGTTAAAAACTTCCACTTCATTACGGCGAAGCAAGGTGAAATTTTCCCATTTAAGATTTTTTCCCGAGCTCACAAATGAGCATAGGAATGTGAAAGTCCAATTGAATTTCCCTCTAATTTCAGCAGATTTAAGTATTTATCTGCACTTGCATGGCTGGTACATACTAAACACTGCAGCTTCTGACGCTGACTTCAGGATGAAATGTTAAATATTATTCCAAGGGCTTTTAAAGTGATTAAAGTGTTAAATGCCTGCTGTAGACGATCGAGTCTCCTTTTACTCGCCAGATTCAGCTTCTTGGGCCAAACATAGAATAACTGCAGAGCCGGGAGGCAGGGAGGAAAGCTGCGCCGGAGGGGCACTACAGCCGGCACTGCGTGCCGCCTGTCTCTCCTATCCCCGAATCGTCCTTCAGCTCGCCGGATAACAAAAATGCCCACGCGAAGCTTTTCTTCCTTCCCCTCCTCCCAAGTGAGATGAGAAACAAGACGGGCGCAGACAAAGCGGTGTTTTCTTTCCAAATCTGCCTTATTTGTTCCTCCCCTTCCCCTTTTCTTCCTATTAGGCAAATAGGGGAAACCTAATGGGGGCAGCTCTCAGTGCATCTTGTAAAGAGATTTACCCAGGAGTGGTACCGATGGAGCAGATGCCTCGTAGACCTTGGGTCAGGGCAGGGGTACACTGTGAAGGCAGGTACCACCCAAGCACTGCTGCCTTTGGAGGGCTTCTGTGCTTTCTGTGGTTTATTCAAATTTTTGGGATATTTTTTCTTTTTCTTTTTCTTTTTCTTTTTCTTTTTCTTTTTCTTTTTCTTTTTCTTTTTCTTTTTCTTTTTCTTTTTCTTTTTCTTTTTCTTTTTCTTTTTCTTTTTCTTTTTCTTTTTCTTTTTCTTTTTCTTTTTCTTTTTCTTTTTCTTTTTCTTTTTCTTTTTCTTTTTCTTTTTCTTTTTCTTTTTCTTTTTCTTTTTCTTTTTCTTTTTCTTCTCTTCTCTTCTCTTCTCTTCTCTTCTCTTCTCTTCTCTTCTCTTCTCTTCTCTTCTCTTCTCTTCTCTTCTCTTCTCTTTTCTTTTCTTTTCTTTTTAAATATCACTAAACAGCAGCTCTCTCAGACCTGCTGGGCTGGGCTGGAAATGAATTTTTATCCTCCCGTTAGCTCTGGTTTCAGTTTACCAGCATTTAGTAAAAAACATCCAGAGGGAGGTGGAAGTGAATTATTTGCAAAATTACAGTAACTGATAAAAGTGCACT